TTCTTTCTTTTTTAACAGAGTGGAACAGGAAATTAATCAAAATACTGAATTCTTATAAACAGAACTTTGTAAAATTATTTTCCCTGGGTGCTGAGGGTGAGAGATCTGTTGGGCATAACTTTAGCAGGTCTAATTGATCACTAGGATACTTCATGCATCAAAGTATGCTTTAAAGAGAGCTTCACAGATATGTAGAAATTTTTTTAAAAACTGTTAATGCAATATAACAGATATTTTCCAACATCAGGTATGTTTGAGAAAGCCAAAACTGAAACTTTCTCTGTTGGCTTGTAAAAATGTGGACCTAAGTTAAAGTCCCTCACTCCTCATTTCCTATTTCTTTTTGCAGGTGATTTCTTCAAGCACCATATTATGTATACAAATGGCCAACAATCTGAAATCCAGATGAAATCAAAGAAACAGTAGCAAAGAATGTGAGTGTATGTATTTGTTTTTTGTTAGTCACAAAGTTGTTTCCGACCCATTGCAACCCCATGGACAACGTTCCTTTAGGGCTTCTTGTCCTCTACCATCCCCCAAAGTCCATTTAAGCTCACAGTGACTCCATCCAGCCACCTCATTCTGTCATCTCCTTCTTCTATAACCCTCAATCATTCCCAGCATTAGGCTCTTCTTCAGTGACCCTTCCTTCTCATTAGGTGGCTTAAGTATTTGAGTTTCATCTTCAGGATCTGGCCTTCTAGAGCAGTCAGGGTTGATCTCTATGACTGACCAGTTTAATCTCCTTGCCAGTCCAAGGGACTCGCAGCAGTCTTCTCCAGCACCATAGTTTAAAGGCCTCAAGTCTTTGATGCTCAGCCTTTCTTATGGTTCAACTTTAACAGCCATACATTGCAACTGGGAAAACCATAGTCTTGACTATACACACTTTTGTTGGCAGAGTGATGTCTCTGCTTTTTAGTATGTTGCCTAGATTTGCCATACATACACACACAAATATACATCTGGCCTTGGGAAGGAGGAAAACAGCAATAAACATTAAGAGAGGAAAAACTAAAATTTAGTCAGGAGAAAATGAAAAGCATTAAAAAAAACTCAAAATAAATTTGTCTTGGTTTTGTTTGATATGAAATGGCATAGTGAGAAACTGATAGTCTTTCAGGATTCAGTTATACTACTGTAAAATAATAAAGTACTTTCATGGAATCTAGGTTTTTCTGCCCTCAAAGGGCAGCATATTTACAACATTCATTTTATCTAAAGTTGATTATGCATTGAATTAACATATTTTAATAACATAAAAATATGCAATATCAAAATATACCAACAACACATCTCTCCCTAAATAACAGTGGGTGGTAGATTGGCTATAGGAGATTTGCCACAAAACTAAAATGGAACTGCTGTAAAAAAAATGTTGATCATCTTTTTGTTTCCTCAGTCAGGCACAGGCCACATGTTCATGTCTATGAACAGGAATCTAGTCAACTAATGGTTACTACTATTTTGACACTAGATAAGGCTTAACAGAATTCAAGAAGGTTAGAATTAGATTACTTGTTGGAAAGTAGAAACTCTAGGCTGATTCCCCTTCTGATACTACTCTCAGGCTTTGCTACTCATACATTCTCTCTCCTAAAACACTTTTGAACTATGTCTTCTTTGTAATAAAGTTTCTGGTTTAGAGGACCAGAATCTATGGGGTATAATCAAATTATTTTGTAATAATTCCTGTTGGAAGCAAAATCTGGTCCAGTTCAAACCTGGGAGAAAGATACAGGAGGCAAGCTGCAGTTGGAAAGGAGGTCTGTGACAAAGCAATCGGTTCTGGGACAGCTGACAAAATAGTCTGGTGAGTGGATGGGTTTTTATGTGATTCTAGGGCTTTATGATTTAGATGTTCATTGTGTAATGTATTTTAATCTGCACTTGAGTGTGCCCTTTTAGTATTCTAATTATTCAGTGGTGGAATTCTACCAGTTACCCTACCGGATTGGTGATCGTGCACTTTGTGCATGTGCACAACTTTCCAAACACCAGCTGAGGCTCTGCCACGCCAATCAACTGAGATGAAAAAGAACAGAAAAGTGCAGGGGTGGGTGGGAAGGCCGATCCCACACTTTTCTCTTATTTCTCTTTTAGCTAACCGTCGGAGCTTTTTTTATTACCGGTTCAGCCAAACTGGTAGCATTTCACCGCTGCAATTATGGTTGCATGACTCCCATAGTGGATGAGAGGTCATGCCCTGTCCTTGGAGCTGGGTAGGGAATGCAGATTTTAGATGTCTTTGTTTCTCTGCTTGTTAATATGATCAATTCCAGTCTTGTCTAGAGACAGTAGCTGAAGGTACTTAGTTCATGAAAGGAATAGTTTGTGAAACTAAATATCCATTCACAGGAGCCGGCCTCTTGAGTGGTTTTACTTCAAGGAAGCCTTCTCTCTTCCAGGGATGAGAGGACATTTCTTTGCTAATATGGGGACCTTTTTATACTGAAAGGTGAGGATTCTCCCTACAATCTTTTGCTTAACAGATACTAAGAAATAGTAATATACTAATATATACTAATATAATATAACAATATATTAATATATACTAATAATACTAAGAAATAGCTTCATGAATCATGGTAGTGTTTTCCCTCACATCATAATTAGGCTTGGGTTATTTTTAGATTTAAATTTCAGAATATAAATGGATGTAAATATAAATTTCAGGTCATCTAGTCCAGGGGTCGCCAACATTTTGGACCTCAGGGACCACCAAACTCATAATTTTAGATCCCAGGGACCACTAACCAGTTCTGTGGGTGGCCTAATTTGTGGGTGTGGCTTGGTGGTCATGTGACTGGCTGGGCATGGCTTGTATGTAAATATTATAAATAATTATCTAAATATTAATTTTTTTATAAAAAAGAGCAACTTTTACCCAAAATCAGGGAAAGCAGGCAGGCAGATTGAGTTGCTCACAGAATCACAGATTCATTCAGAGATCTATCTATCTGCCATTGGCTAGCTCAGTCTGTCACATAAAATTTGCTTGTAAGCAAAGTCATAAAATTTGCTAGCAAGCAAACTCACAATATTAATTCACAACACACCATGCATGTAAATATTGATTTTTTTATTTTTTAAAAAGAGCAATTTTTACCCAAAATCAGGCAAAGCAGGCAGATTGAGTTGCTCTATCTATCTGCCATCGGCTAGCTCAGTCTCTCAAATTTGCTTGCCATGAGTCTGCACTGAATTTGCTTGCAAGCAAAACTTCAGTCCTAAGTGAGGTTCGGCTGTGTTGAGCCGAAGATCTAAAGACTAGCTAGAAAGCAAGAAATCCAACCATTTTCTGCTTTCTAAATCTCTCAGTACAGCAGAACAGATGATGGTTGGAAAAAGGAAAAATAGCAATTAAGCAGGCAAGTTTACCGGGTAAGGAGTGAGTGGGTGGGGAGGGTTCCTGCGGGCCATGTGGGTGGCTCAGCCTGGATTAATTGCTTTGTGGGGGTGTTCTGGGGGTGAGATTTCTCTGCGGCCCATCAAAATTTTCTCACGGCCTACCAGTGGGCTGTGGCCCACTGGTTGGTGACTGCTGATCTAGTCCATCTCCCTCTTAATGTTATTTACAGTGCAGAATGCAACTACATTAGTCTTTCATGGTTGAAGAACCTATCTCGTTAAGAAGTTTTTCCTAACATTTAATCAAAATCTATTCCACTAAAGTTCCTACCTAATTTTTATGTTTCAAGTAGAGATATTTGCTCAATCTCCTTTTCACATATTGGAAAATATCCACCATCATTCTTAATGTTCTATTTTCTGTACCCATAATAATCAGGTTTGCTTTTATTTTCCCACAATCTTTTACCATACTGCTCAGCTCTCAGATTCATCAATGTGTTGTTTGATAGAATACAAATTCTCCATATTTTGCTTAAAATTTGACTTTCACAAATAAACAATTTACTTTAGTATTATACTATAAATATATGGGGACATCAGTTCTGTCTCCCCACTCCATCCCCAAAACTATTAAAGTTCTAAATGTCACTGGATATTATTAAAATAGAATAGGATCCCTGAAGAAAAGTGTTCTCCATATTGAAGGAATAGGAACTGAATGACCAGATATGTCAATATGCAGTTGAGAATAGTGCTAGTGAATATGGCTTTGTGTTTTCTCTCATGTGATTGTAACTGCATGGCATGGGGTAAGGAGTAATGGTTTATTATCATGACATGGATTAATGGGCTTCTGTTAATGCATATATATATATAAAATGTGCTACTGGATCATGTTTCTTTTTGGTCAACCAAGATATTTAAATCTTGTTTTATAGCAATAGCACTTAGACTTATATTCTGCTTCATAGTGCTTTACAGTCCACTCTAACTGGTTTATAGAATCAGCATATTTTCCCCAACAATCAGGGTCCTCATTTTACCAATCTTGGAAGGATGCAGGGCTGAATCAATGTTGAACTGGTCAACATCAAACTCCTGGCAGTGAGCAGTGAGTTAGCCTGCAGTACTGCATTCTGGCCATTGTGCCATCACTGCTTTATAATACTGGTGGCAAATTATGTCTCTCCATCAGATTCATATGCTGGTGTGTGTGTGTGTGTGTGTGTGTGTGTGTGTGTGTGTGTGTGTGCTGCATCTGTTTTATCTACCTATCTATATTCTTTCTGTCCAATGTAACAATTGATGTAACAACAATCCAATGTAATTGATTGTTGAGGGAAATCAGGAGAATCAGGCAGTTCAAATGGTATTTGGATTTATTGAAAACTTAAGCTCTCTACAAGAATCTGAGCTACTCAAGGGAAATTAATGGGAGATAAGAAGGGAAATTAATGGGAGATAAGAAAGGCATTTAAGGTGGGCTGGATTTACATTTCTTGTGGATGCACATGGACTCATGTATTATGATGCATTTGACCCCTTCCTCAAGCTCAGTCTGGTCATCTCCTACATCAATGGCTATAATCTAGTGTTCTAACCTACTAAATTCATTTCAAAGTATTCTGTCTTCTTTCATGTTAGATAGCCTACTCAACTGTTTTGTGACTTGCAATTTTGCACTACCTTCATCAAAATCATTTATGGAAGCATTGAAGAATGTACATTTTAGGACAGAGCCTTCTAGCAGCCCACTTGAAAATTTATCTTCCTTGTTTCAGTTGCTGTAATCTGAAGTAGACTTAGAATTGAATTTTAAATAGAAATGGTTCTTAACACTCTCTCAGAATGATCAATAGTAATAGTCAAGCAAGTTCTAAAGGCATGAATTTGAGAAAAAACTACAAGCTTTTGCTTTCATTTATCCTTGGATTCAAAGTTATTATTCAGAGGGGGAGGGGGAAGTATGCTGTATTTTGTTGATTAGAGGGAGAGTAATTTTTCTCCCAGTGAAGAATTGCCGTCTATGTGAGATAATACATCTTTTATTTTACATAATAATTTAACTTATATATCAATGCAGGGCAAATAGCATTGGATGGGTCTCATGCAAATGAATGATGAGAATGAAAATAATGCAATGTTTATGATGAGCGATTGCATGTGTATATAATATATTTCATGAATAATTTATCCTTAGCTAGTATGTTTGGAGCCATGAAGATAGGAAAAAGGCATTCTTTACAGATGAACATCTGTGCTACAGGAGAGCTCTGAGTTCTTTCCTGGATCCAAAACAACAACAACAACAACCCAACACCTTATCTTCTTCCCTTTCCTATATTGCTGAAAAGTTTACTGAGCTACTTCTGCAAACCCATTCACAATTTTCTTATTGAAGTATATTGTTGTGGCAATCTAGAAATGGGAGATCCCTCCCAGGACCTCAAAAACAAGATTAGGTCCAAGATCTAATCCTTCTCCCTCATTTTCATAATCTGAAGAGACAACAAAGACATTTATTCCCATCAGGCCAAAGGAGAAGTACTAGTCCTTTGGATAAAACTAATAAATGACTTGCTACTGCCTAATAGTAGGCTTAAAAAGAGTATTCCATCAATGTAGCTCGGTGGAAAGTCACAGACTTTCCAGTTCTAGATTAGGACACTCTGCTAAACTCCACCATTGATTAGCATAGGAAACAAAGGGCATTTCTCAATATTCTCTGCTCCTTCCTCATCATATGAAATAAAAATAATTTGATCCACTCTCTGTGCCGATAAAAACTCACCAGTGAAGCAGAGTCTTTGAATTTCCCACTTCTTAAGAAAGACTCCTAGAAAAGAACCTCCCTTTCTTTTGTTCTTCTTCTTCTTCCACCTATGAAACATTGCTTACTAAAGTGTGGTCTCTTTCTTTTATATTATTCAATGTTAAAACATTTAAAGGTGCAAATTATATGAAGATCCCAGTTTTGGGGTTTCAGTTGCCATATCTGATCAAGCATGGAACCCCTATTGGAATAGAGACTGTTTGTCCTCAGAAGAGGCAGAATTTCTATGACCAAGAATAGTTACTAGAGTGGGTAATAAACTGCAATAGAAAGAATGTGTGTGAGAGTTTCAGAATCTTGCAGGACAAAAGAAATGGTTTACACACTAAAACCTCCAGTATTACACATGGCAAGGCATTAAAGAATGTCATGGAAAAACTCTACAATGTGATGGACTACTACTATATCAACTACTAGAAAATTTGCCAACATAATAGTTTTTCTGTTTATATTCTGCCAACATTGGTTGCCAAATTTACCTGGACAGTTGTGTCAAACACATGCTACCCAATTATAACCCAGCTCCTGATATTCCATGACTAGGAAGTTTTTACATGAAAAACCTCATTGTTAGAGATCATTCTGAATTTGGATTTCCATAAACAGGAAAAAAAAATAATAGTAATAAGTCACATAACAGCAAGTTATATCACTGGACAAGTGAAGCTGGTTTATGCAGTTCCTAGATTTCAGGAGGCTTATCCCTGTTTCTAAATGAAGTGCTGCATTTGGAATGCAGCAAAATACTTGGAGCAATAGGGTTTTTTTTTGGGGGGGGGGAGGTGGGGGAATCTGGATTAGATTATATTTAAATGCTTTGAATTATATACACATACCTGAGAGCCATATGACATCTGGGAGTGGCTTTTATAGCAGCATGCATGTTACTGCCTATTTCAGGTGGCGGTGGGTGGGAAATAAAACAAAACCAAATCTCAAATAAAGCAAAAACAAATCTCAAACAAAGCAAAAAATAAAACACCACAACACAATATTAATACTGGTGTTATTTTCACAAAGAGATTTGTACCAAATTTCAGAGGATTGGGATACAACCTCAAGATATTTAAATGAGGAAAGTTATATCTATGTTATTTTCTTTTTCTAGTTTAGTTTACTTTTATTGTCATTGCACCTCGTACAACAAAATCAAACACCTTCTTCAGTGCACGTCATGACCATTACCATGAAAATAAACACAAACACACATCTTTCACCCTTCACACATTGAACGGAAAATCCCCGACACTACACCAACACTGCACTATACAGCAGAATTAAAAAGAGCTACTGCCCTGGGATAGAAGCTGGTTTTTCAGCCTATTTGTCCTTGTTTTTATTATTCTGTACCATCTGCCAGATGGTAATAGTTCAAAAAAAGGGTTCCAAGGATGAGATGGATCTTTGAGAATGTTTTGAACTTTCTTAACGCAGCGGGAGCTATAAAGCTCTTCCAAAGAGGGGAGAAGGCAACCAATGATCTTCTGGGCAATGACATTAACCCTCTGGAGTGCTTTCCTATCTGCCACTGTGCAATTGGCAAACCATACAGAGGTACAGTATGTTAAAATGCTCTCTATGGTGCAGCAATAGAAGGTCACCAGCAGTTTTTCATTCAGTTGCTGTTTTCTGAGAAGTCTCAGGTAGTATAATCTCTGCTGGGCCCTTTTGACCAGAGCTGCAATATGGGCACCCCAGGTCAGGTCCTCTTTTAGGGTAACACCCAGAAACTTAAAACTGGCCACTTGTTCCACCCGGTCTCCATTTATAAGCAAGGGCTGGATGTCTGAACTGTTCCTTCTATAGTCCACTATAAGCTCCTTGGTCTTATTGGTGCTGAGGACCAAGTTATTGTCTCCACACCATGAAAGCAACTGGTCCACCTCATCTCGGTAGGCAGACTCATCCCCCCGGAGATAAGTGCCACCACTGTTGTATCATCTGCAAATTGAGCAATAGTATTACTAGCGTGAGTGGGCATGCAGTCATGCACATAAAGAGTATAGAGTAAGGGACTCAACACGCAACCCTGTGGTGTACCAGTGTTAAGAATAAGGGCTGAAGAGGTATGATTACCTAATCTGAACCTTTGTGAGTGGTCAGATAGGAAGTCCATAATCCAAAGGCAGATTGTATTAGAAAGCCCAAGGTCCAGAAGTTTAGACACTAGTCTATGTGGAAGAATTGTGTTAAATGCAGAACTACAATCCACAAAAAGCATCCTCACATATCCCCCCCCCCACTGTTCTAGATGAGTCAGAGCAGTGTGAAGAATGATGGCTATAGCATCCTCTGTAGATATAATTTTTCTGTATTCAAACTGGTGTTTATCAAATGTAGGCGGAAGACCATAAATGATGTGCCGGCAGACCAATTTCTCAAAGCACTTCATGATGATAGGAGTGAGTGCCACTGGTCTGTAATTATTTGAGGTTATTGATAGGGAACTTCTTTGGCAGCAGAACAATGGTGGAAGCCTTCAAACAAGATGGAATAGTGGCCTGGGATAAAGACCGATTGAAGATCCTGGTAAAGACTCCAGCCAACTGATCGGCACAGTCTTTAAGCACTCGGCCAGAGATGCCATCAAGACCGGCAGCCTTTCTAGGGTCCATAGCCCTCAGAATGCTCCTCACCTCCTGTTCCTCCACATGAGGTGGGGGCTACAATTGGATGGTGGTTGTATTTTATCTGTCTCTGATGTCTCCACTTCAAAGCGAGCAAATAAATTATCCAGTTCGTCTGCTAATGAAGCATTCCCCTCAGCAGGGATGACATTTGTCGGTTGATAGCTTGTAATTTGTTGAATCCCTCGCCAAACCTGCCTTATGTTATTGCTATAAAAATTATCCTCAATCTTCTTCTTATACTCATCCTTGGCCTTCCAAATACCTTTCTTCAGATTAGCTCTGGCAACACTGTGTCTTGCCCCATCACTGGACCTAAAGGCCTTGGTCCTGTCATGCAAGAAGCACTGGACTTCCTTGGTCATCCAGGGTTTCTGACTGGGATAGATCCTAATACGTTCATCCACAGTGATAGTATTTGTGCAGTGTTTGATATAGCACAAAACAGTTGCAGTGTGCACCTCTAGGTCAGGGTGGTAAAAGATGTCCCAATTTGTGCTCTCAAAACAATCCTGAAGTTGTTGGGAAGCATCTTCTGGCCAAGATTTCACTGTCTTTATTATAGGGAAAACCCGTCTCCTAAGAGGGATGTATGCTGGTGATAAAAGCAGTGACATATGGTCTGATTGTCCCAAATGTGGTAATTGTATAACCTTATAGTCATGTTTAATGTTGGTATATTCTTTGTCTAATATGTTTGCTCCTCTAGAAGCACACTTAACATGCTGATAGAATTTAGGGAGCACTTTTTATAAATCAGCTTGATTAAAGTCCCCCGCTATGATATGCACAGCATCAGGATACTTATTCTGATGATTATTAACAATGTTACATAAGAATCCCAAAGCTATGGTAGTATTGGCATCAGGTGGGACATAGACTGCAGTAATCAAAACCATGCTGAATTCCTGCAGAAGATATATGGGTCTACATTTAAGAGTCATATACTCCAGATCCATGGAGCAGTGGCTATCTACAATCTTTGTACTGATACACCAGCTTTTATTCACATAAAAGCTTAAACCTCCCCCTTTGATCTTGCCAGAATCTCTACTCCTGTCCTGCCTGTGAGCTATGTAGCCTTCCAGCTCAACAACTGCATCTGGAATGAGTGAACAAAGCCAAGTTTCTGTGATTAGCAAAACACAGTAGTTCTTGATAAATTTAATTGTTGCAATCTGTAGCCTTAATTCATCCATTTTGTTAGTCATAGATCTTGCATTGGTAAGAAATATACTTGGAATTGAAGGCTTGTGTGGAAACTTACTCAGCCTAAAGAAAACCCCAGCATGGCATCCTCTCCTCTTCTTCCTGTTCCTCTTTCTCCGCCTCTTCCTCCTTCCTACACGGATAGTGATCCATGGTTCCCCCAGGGGCCTAGCTGCCTCCTTCGGTATGTTATGAGAATATATAAAATAATCTGTAATAGCCTTTTCACATTTCAGTCCAAATTTTAACAAGACTTGCCAACTATAGATGCTCCTTGCCCCACAGGATTCAGTCAAGGAAAGGATCCAAAACACACACACAATCATACACACCATACACTGAAAGAAGGAGCAGTTAGCCACAACATCCATGTGCACAGCCATCTTGAAAAGAAATCCCCATTAATCTACCATTAATGTTTGTGGTTTCTGTCCCTTAAAACCCTTTATGTTTTCAGTATTCACCTGGTTTATAGTGAGTCTATCTTGCCTATAGTAAAGGAGGGCCTGTGTACTTCTTTTAAAGCTAACCTGATTTAGAGAGAGAGAATGACCACATCATCATCTTGAAGGGGGAAAAAAACCACAATTGTCTATCATTAGGCTTAGTAAGTGAAATTATGCTGTGGTTAAAGACGTAACCATTGAAATGCTGAAATGGGGCTAGAATAGAGTCATGTTTCACTACTTTCTGAACTGAGATACCTTCAGAAGGATGGTTGCTAGCATGATATCTAACCTATGCAGTTGTCTACATGCAACACTCTGATTAAACAAAGTAACTTGTGATCTATGGATGAATGGAACAATTTCTACCACAGTCTTTCTCTAAAGGTGAACAAAAAGTTGATTTTAAACTTATAAGGGAAATGTAATTTAGTTAAACAATGAGTGTGTTAGATCTGGAGGTGTGGGCGCAATAACGGAGACGAGGCATCGGGTAGTGACTCAACTATTTAATAGTGACTTCAGAACAGAGCAACATACTTGGGCAGCAGCAGCTCTTTTATAGAGCTGGCTGCTGTCGCAACAACCAATGAAAACGAGTTTAACCACACTTAAACTTCCAATCCGAGCTGGCCCGCTGTCAGCCAATCAGACCAGCCAGAGGCGGACAATCACGATCGCTTGTTTGCGGACCAATCAGAAGTGCAGGATTACGAGCCTGCCGTTGGAGTGAAGCTAGTAGAGTTTTTTTAATAATGAGTTTATTTAGTTAGTTCGTAACACCCCTCCCCCCTAGGTTCCGTCTGAGGGGTGGGGTGATGTATTCTTTCAAGTAGGCAGGCCGTTTCATCTGCCTGTTCGATTTTCGCTGTTCCACCGGTTTCCGTTCTGGCTCCGGTGGATCGTTTGTAGGACCGGGTGGGGACGACGGTTCCACTATCCCGCTGGGTGACTCAGGGCTGTTTTCTCTGTTGTCATCTGGGTTCCCTGGACTTGCTTCCCTGACTGGGCTGCTCTGCGGCGAGGCCATCGCCCGGCTCGGGCTTCCGTTGGGAGGTGAGTATCCCCTGGTTAGTTGTGCAGTCTGCTGGGCTTCAATTATTGGGTCCTTTGTTATTCCTATTTCGGCCCCCTCGTTTTCCCTTCCCCCCCCCAGTTAGAAAGTCAGGGGTTGAGAGAGAGCTAGGTGTCAAACGGGAACGAAGTTGGTCTATATGGCGCTTCCATAATTTGCCATCATTAGTCTGCAAGCGGTAAGATCTGGGGCCAGTTAGTTGCGTGATAGTAGCGGGGACCCACAATGGGTCAGCCGAGAAGTTTTTCGCAAAGACTAAATCGCCTACCTTAAACGCACG